AATCCCATGGACAGAGGAGCCTGGTGGGCTATGGTCCATGGGGTCAAAAAGAGTCGGACACGACTGAGCGACTAACACTACTAGTACTGGAACGTTGTGACCACAAGTTGTTAGATTTTTGTCGTGCGTTGTGCCAAATGTCTTCTTCCTAAAGCATTTTCAATTCTTCCTTTACAGTGAAGATCCTGTTGCTGTTGTTCAGCTGCTCATTTGTGCCTGATTCTTTGCGACCCCAAGGACTGTAGCATGCCAGGCTTCCTCGTCCTTCTCTGTCTCTCAGAGTTTGCTCAGACTCATGTCCATTGAGTCGGTGATGCCATCCAACCATCTCATCCTCTGTCGTCCCCTTCTCCTTCTGCCCTAAATCTTTCCCAGCATCAGGGTCTTTTCTGATGAGCCGGCTCTTCGCATCAGGTGGCCAAAGTATTGGAGCTTCAGCTTCAGCATCAGTCCTTCCTATGAATATTCAGGGTTGATTTCTTCGGGGGTTGACAGAAGATACTGATGGTACTTCATTTCAGTGTCATGTCCCATCTCTCACCTTCCATCTGAGGAGGGCTGATGGCCACAGTCTCACAAGCATGTGCAGTGCTGGCCTGTGTGACTAAGGACTCAGGAACTGCCCAGTTTCAGCAGAGGTGGTGGGTGCCTTTGCCTTGGGACATGGGTGACCACCAGGCTGTTCCATGACCTGTTTGAATCCCTTGTCACTCACAGCTACAAAACATCCCACAGTGCATGTGCATTTTCCCTGAGTGAAAGTCCTCAAATATTTCCATTCATTTACCTTGGCTGAAGGTACTAAGTTTCGCTGCCCCCCTATATATATATACATATATATATACATATACATATATATATATATATACACATACATATATATATTTATAAATATACATTTATATATTTATTATTATCTTTTTTGAGATGTTAGGATTAACAAGAAATATCTTGTTTCCAGATTTTTCTTTTTTTGGCTAGGGTAGGTGACCTCAGGGAAGTTGACAACTGAATAATTGGGCTCTGGTAAGAGGCCAGAGCTGCTTCCCTAACAAGGAGTAGAAGGAGCAAGTTACTAAGAAAGTGGGAGCTGGGAGAGAAGGAAATTCTCTGTTCAGCTTTGCACTTGCTGCAGTTTGCAGACTACTGCGTCCCTCACACTCAGCCTTTATCTGGATCTGAAGCTGAGCAAGCTCCAATCCAGAGGTTCTAACACTACCAGCATGAGCGGTCCCACGGTTTCTAACTCCTCTTGTAGCTGCTCCCCAACTCCAATACCATGTGGGAACGCCAAGAACATTGGGTCAGAGGAAGACCTGTAAGTGGAGAAAAGGACAGGTCTGGGGGGAAAAAATTCAAAGTATTACTAACAACTCGAAATAAGCAATACCTGAGATATGTTTTCTATTTCTGGGTTCACTGACTTGTAACATATTTAATACAGTAAGTTTTAGAAAGCATCACTGCCAGGGCTTTGGTCTCTTTGTCCCCTGGCCTAGGAAGCTGAAATGCAGCATGCCCATCAGGACCTCCTGCAATAGTGACAGCGAGCAGAGTGCTCCTCGTGTCATACCTTTTGATGCTCCAAGCCTCACGTCTTCCAGGACACTATCAGTTAAACAACCAGTTTGATAATTTTCTCTGAATAGATTGACTTGACAATTTTGCTAGAATGCACACCCTGTTTCCGGGAGGGTTACACAGACAGGGAGAAGTATGTTTAGGCTCCTGAACTAAAGCATGGTTTTGGTCCAAGTCTTGGTTGACCCTACCAGCACACCCCTGATCAAGTATTCCTAGTCCTATGCCCAAGGCACAAGCACTGTCTAGGTTTCTGGATCATATTTATGAAGAGATTCTGTGGGAAGGCAAGAAGAAGAAAGAATAGGACAGAACCACAAAAAGCATATATATATATATACACACACACATACACCTGTTGGTATTGTAGGATTGGGATTCCCAGGTGGTGCAAGTGGTAAAGAATCTGCCTGTCAAGGAAGGAGACACAAGAGACATGGTTGAATCCCTGGGTTGGGAAGATCTCCTGGAGTAGGAAATGGCAACCCACTCCAGTATTTCCTGCCTGGAAAACTCCATAGGCAGAGGAGCCTGGTGGGTTACAGTCCAAGGGGTTGCAAAGAGTCAGACACAACTCAGCAAGCACACACACACAGACACACATTCTAGGATCACTTAAAAAAAGAGTTACAGGATAAGGAAGCCAACAATGAATCCTTAGTCCAGTAACTTTAAGAATTAATTAGGTGAATGGAAGAATTCATATGAGGTGTTAAAAGTTAAAAAGATAGGCAATGGGATGTTTGATATTGTTGCATTATATTGGAAGTAACATTAAAAAATACCTACCATTATTTGTTAAGATAGTTGCTAGGATTTACAGAGCTCCACTGATATCTGTGTCTTTTTATACTCATTTTGTAGATGAGAAAATGGGAAAAATGAGGCTCAGAAGAATTAAGGGTGTTCAAATACATAGAACTAGCAAGAATTCAGTTCCAAACCCAATTCTGACTTTTAACCTCCTCTCTCCAGGTTTTCATTCTACTTCTCAAGACTGGGCAAAGTTGAAACACAAAGCTGTAAAACTTCAATCCATCTCTCAAGATTTGAATACAACCCAACCAATCGATTTTTATCCCAATTTCCACATTGTTTTTGAATAGAATTATTTGACTATTGCAGATGCTTTGATGGGGAGTCTCTGGCAAAACAGTTGCCAGTGGAGGTGACATTAGGAAGAAAGCATATAAAATTTTCTAGATCTACTACCTGTTGACTTTGGTTGATGATTTTTTAAGAGCATGGAATCTTCTTTCTAGTGGCTAACTCATGACACTGGGTATAAGTAGGGGAAATGAAGAAAGTATTGAGGAAGGTGGTGCCATCGTAATTCACAATGATTGGTGGTGGCTGTATGTTCTGCTACTGGCCGTAGAGAAGAGAGGCTAGGGTGTGGCAGGCTGAAGTGTAACACACTCAGTTATCATTAGAAAGCAAGTCACAGAGCTCACCAAAGATTGGTTATCTAAGGTCTCCTCAGAGGATCTTGCTTCACGTTCAATGCCATGGGGGGAAAGGCTTGATAACATCAGGTAGAGTTACGTTCATTCAACAAATCATTGACCACAAATTCTATGCAACAGATGGGTTCTCGCCTCCTCTTCCAAATTGTGGATATTTGGTATTATTTAAAATACAGAAACAAAAGACCATACACTGTTGTTTAATCGTGACCGGTCTGCATATACTTTGGATAAAGAAACAGGAAAAGATGAATTAAATGACATCCTCCATGAGGGACAATTAATGCAGCAGGTGAATAAACACCAGGCAATGAAATCTAAATTAAAACTCATGTCTCTGCTTTCTTCTTCAAAAAGAGGAATAATATATTATTTTTGTCCTTATCTTCTAGTATTCTGAGATGGTGGTGCTAATTGATCAGTAAAAATAATAATTAAGCTTAATTATCTGTTATTATGGTTTTCAGTCACAGAGGTAGACTAGATAAGAACTAACTGCAAGAATCACAAGAATTAATCATTTTTTCACAGTTTCTCTCTTCCTTATATCCAGTGTTTATACCAAATACTTGATGTATTTTTGTATATTACCCAAAATAAACTTTTCTTCATTCATGAAGTAAAAATCCTACTGGAGTAGGAATCTTAAGTTCATTTAACTCAGCAGTTTGTTCCTATAAGCAGTACTTTAAGAGTTTTACTTATTTGCAAGCCTTATCTTCATTCTACACTGAAATATATAAGGTATGTGAAAGAGCTTTATTTTCAGTCATTCTGGATAAGTAATAAATGGTAAGTGATTCTCATGCAGTCTGAAGTAATCATACTTTTATGTCCTTGATCTTGAATGGAAACATTTGAATTTTTGCATCAATTACGGAAAATAGTTATGAAAGTGATTTTATTCATTGAGTTATGCAAGCTGATGAATGTATAGCTCTAGTTTTGGTTAAGAAAAACACTTGGAGGCTGTCTCATAAGGCAGACACCAAAGGGTGTTGTGTAGAATCAAGGGGAAGAGGGCAAAGGCAGATTTCTCTGAAAATGAAGGAGTCTTTTTTAGGTGTAAGCCACCCCAAGAGGGTTGGTTTCAGAGCTGTCCAAATGAAGTCTTATTTTTATCATGTTACCCCTGCCAGCTCTTCCCAGACTCTGGAGACTACCATGTTAGGGAAATCCAAACTGCTATTACCTCAAAGGTGGTTTTTCCAAACCCACTGCACTTTTAGAGTAATTCTGGAAAGAGATGTATTTGCACCAATAAATATGGAGTTCCTTTTCACAGAAACTGATCTTAACAGCAGTTAAACAAGTGTGCTAAAACTTTCGAAATTTAGCAGATGCCACTCACTTCCCAGTACCCACAGACCAAGAGAACAGACCAACCATTTGCTAGAGTTATGCTCATTTATGCTAATTATGCTATTGGGAGCTACGCAACCACATGTGTATATGAACATGTATGTATATAACCCAAACAGAGTTAATCTTGGGCCTCTCATAATAAATCCATGGGGAAAGATGAAATAAGTAGTTTACATCTAAAGTTCTGCACCATTATCTGATAGACAGTGATGTACCCTGATACTTTCTTCAAGCAAATTTGCTGGTAAACTAGGAATAAAATAGTTCTTGAAAGCATCAGTGTCCCTAGTTCATATTATAGGTTTTGATGTAACAGTCTCACGTTCCATAAAAGTTGGAAACAAAATTAAATAGAAATGAGATGTGAACTCAAACAATGGTAAGCTGGCCGGGTCAAACAGTTTTGACTATAATATTTCATAATGAGAGAAAATCTTAGTGACGAGGTATGGAGTAATTGAAAGACTTCTGCTGACTGGCCATACTTTCGGAAATAAAAATGATCAAGATGCATTAGATGATAATCAGTCATTTTACCTTGAAAATAATGTGAAAAGTAAGCTTTTAGAAATGTCAAGTGACCAAATATGTGCAGAAATTAACTTTTTTTTTTATTATATATCATATAATGTAGTAGTAAAGTCTGTTTGAAGTGCATGAATAAAAAGTTAGTGAAATTACAGGAGGAACAATCTATATATAGCAATAATAGGTGCATTCCCTGTGCATCTGAAAGAAAAAAAAAAAAAGAGTTTTCACTCATTTTGGCCTAAAACTTAGTGTTCAGGTTCCCAGGATTCTGACATCAGAACCCGGATAACGCTGATTAGAACCATAGGGGCTTTACAATAAAAGCTAAAATATTGACCATATGATGGCAAAAAGTCTTATTTTGTGGTTAACTGATTCTCTTCTAGCTACTCTCTGATGAAGTTGGTGGCGCTGTAGAGGAGGACCGCCGCCTCCTGGACGAGGACCGGGACCGCTCAGCATCGTAGGGGACGTGCTTGTCATAGTTCTCCATCTGAGCCTCGAGGAAGTCTCTCTGCTGCTGCCTGATGGTTTGGCTTATGAGCCCAGGCAGGGCGTGGATGCTACCGATCAAAGTCTCTAACTTCGTTTCCAGGGTAACGATCCTCTTCTCAAAGTCTTCACTTCTTTCATTTAAGTCGGAAATCATGTCATACATGATGTTCTGAGTCTAGAAAACAGGATTGAGAAGAACAGAGAGACAGAGAACGAAGGTTTAATTACACCTGCCCGGGAAGCAGACTAGCCAGCTATCAGAGCTTCAGGGCTGGTCTCCTTTTGGCAACTTGCAGGTCAACAGGGGTGTCAGCTAACTGAACACGTGACCTGGCCAAACAAATCGGTGTGTCTGTTCAATGCCAGGACTTAGAAAAGTAAGATCTTAGGAATTAATGTGATCCAGTTGCAGAAAATGGTGTGCAGGTATTGCTGGTGGTATGTCCAAGGGTTTTAAGTGGTGTGCAGAGAGACAAACATGTTTTGATTTTATATTTATATATATTTATATTTATATACTTTAAGGTATATAGAAAAGTTAGCAGGTCAAATTCATTTTGTAACATGTAATACTAATTAGGGCAAGGCTGATTGTTAAAAACAAGCCAATTTTAAAGAATAATACATAATAGTGCAGATGGTATTGGGATATAGCAGACATTTTGACTGGAATATGAATGAAGTTTAGGACAAACTGATTTGATCGAGTAATTTAGTAACTTAAAGCAATTAAAAATACCTAAATATCTTTTTGCTGCCTTATGTTCCAAATTGTAGGCTCTCCTTTGGGTCAAATAGAATTTTTACAGATAACGAGCAAGAGAATAAAAGTTAGAGGACATACTAAAGTTCCCAATCCACCTTGTTAGCTATGGCTTAATTAGAACCAAGTGGTTTGAAATATGGAAATGCTTTCGGTGTCCTAGTGAATTTTCCAACTGGTTGTCCTGATCAGAGGGTATTCATAACTGACTCCCAGTTATAGTTCTGGAAATAGGAGACAAGAGACAGGGAAAGAGGACTTCAGTGCTGACCAGCTCAGAACCAGACAGGGAAGAGGCTGATATAGAAAGGAAAGCTGGAGACGTTAACCTTGGCCCACCGCAGCCTTTCCCAAGCCTCAGAACTTTATGGCTAAGCCTGCTCTCCTATCATATTTCCCTCTATAATACATGCTCTTATCCTGCTTAACAACCTCTTAGGGATGATAGATGAACTTACTGAATAAGGAAGTTGCTGTTCAGAACACAGGCAAACCTTCCTGGGTTTGGCCAGGAAGACAGTTCATTAACTCTATGTTTACTACAGTCTTGAGACTATGTGAGACTATTCATTCAGTGAATATTAAACTCTTTATGTTATGGACAGTCCTGCAATAATAATAAGCATGGCACTAAAGAAGTAACTGAAAGACACAGCCTCTTGCCTCACAGATAATTTTACTTCAAGAGTATATTTATTATGTATAATAGCATATATTATAGTGAAATGATATATATTATATATATTATTTTCAAGTGACCTCTTTTATTTTTTCATAAAAATACCCAATTTCTTTTATCATTCAACCTAGGAGTGATAATAAGAACCTGCTCCTTCTCTGTTCACAGTGTGTCCCAGTGAGAACCACGGGTGTAAGTATTAGTTGAGCACATCTTCAGGCCTCATACATATGTGCTGTCCAGCTTAAATGAACTATACATGATCTCCTAGGGGTTCACTTCAGTTTGGTTGCCCAGTTGTGTCCGACTCTTTGCGACCCCATGGACTGCAGCACGCCAGGCCTCCCTGTCCATCACCAACTCCCGGAGTTTACCCAAATTCATGTCCACTGAGTTGGTGATGCCATCCAACCATCTCATCCTCTGTCGTCCCCTTCTCCTCCTGCCTTCAATCTTTCCTAGCATCAGGGTCTTTTCAAATGAGTCAGTTCTTCGCATCAGGTAGCCAAAGTAATGGAATTTCAGCTTCAACATTAGTCCTTCCAATGAACACCCAGGACTGATCTTCGTCAGGATGGACTGCTTGGATCTCCTTGCAGTCCAAGGGACTCTCAAGAGTTTTCTCCAACACCACAGTTCAAAAGCATCAATACTTCAGTGCTCAGCTTTCTTTATAGTCCAACTCTCACATCCATACATGACTACTGGAAAAACCATAGCCTTTACTAGACGGACCTTTGTTGGCAAAGTAATGTCTTTGTGTTTTAATATTCTGTCTAGGTTGGTCAAAACTTTCCTGTCAAGGAGTAAGTGTCTTTTAATTTCATGGCTGCAGTCACCATCTACAGTGATTTTGGAGCTCCCCAAAATAAAGTCTGACACTGTTTCCGCATCTATTTGCATGAATACATGTAAATCTTACTAGGTGGGATAAGTCACTAAATACTTCACTTCTATTTATAAGATATCAAATATTCCACTCCAACATATTTATAAAGTATGTATTACTGATATACACTAAAATGAATTTAATTAATGGGACTAGGACAAATAGGTATAATTTTTGAAGAATATAATGGGGGCCTTGTAAAGGACATAGTTGTTACAGCAAACAAACATCAGAACACAGGTCTGACTGAGAACTGCCTTTTTCAAAGCATTCATGTTAACAGGCCCAACACATACATAAATGCTATTCTAATGCCTCATTTAAAATTTAGAACATTGAAAGGAATGTTGTCATTGTTGAAAAATATTCATATTTTGAAGTGTAGTTCACTTGAGAGGAACAACCAAAATAAACCAGAGAAAACATCTAATCATGATATAAGAATTGGGGACTATTAATGTACTTTAAGAAAGTAGTATGAAGACATATAGACCAATGGAACAGGACAGAAAGCCTATTGTTCAAAATAGGTAAAAAAAAATTTATTAGTGAGTTCTATTTAGCCTTGAAAGTGAAAGTCACTCAGTCTTGGTCTACACAGGCCATGGAATTCTCCAGGCCAGAATACTGGAATGGGTAGCCTTTCCCTTCTCCAGGGGATCGTCCCAACCCAGGGATCGAACCCAGATCTCTCACATTGCAGGCGGATTCTTCACCAGCTGAGCCAGAAGGGAAGCCCATTTAGCCTTGAACCTCATAGTAAAACCCAAGACCTGGTTCTGCCCTCACAGGGATGAGACTAAGTCACATATAAGCATCCCAAAGGTATTGTCTCATATATTTATATTTCATCTCATATATTTACATTTATATTTCTAACTGAACTTCCAAATCCCTGCAAGCAGGAAAGCTTTCAGAATGGGGCTGAACATGTGTAGAGGGAAAGTACACATCAAGCAAGAGTTTTAGAAGAATTCTTCTAAGTTGGGCTGTCATGTCAGTATGATCTGTTGGTTTGACTGGGTAAATAACTTTGGGTGGCTGCCTCCTGAAGTGTTACTGGTTTCTGTGTGTGATTAGTTCCAACAGGTGCGAATACAACGGCTGAGACCCCCAAGCTCACCTTTGCCAGGTCCACCAAGGTGTTTGCTTGGTCGTTCAGTTTCCTCTGCTCCATTTTTACACTTCTTAATCTAAAAGACAGAATCTGAAGTCAGAAAGTTTTTCTTTTTTTTTTCTTTTCTGCGACTATCATAAGCCTTCCAAAGAGCATGCACAAAATTGACAAGAGCAAATAACTGCATGGATAATGCCTTGAATACTTGGGGGTAAAGTCCCAATTGGTTATGTATCTGGTACAATGAGAAGCATGCTTCCCCAACACCGCAAAAAGGAAGGGAGAGAGAGAGTAAGAGATAAGGTGTCCTTAGGACAACTGTTTACCAGGGAGTCAAAGTTGAATCGAGAAAGGCTCATAAGGATTTAACCATATGAGAAAAGCCAAAACATTCCTTAAAGCCCCAGTATCGTGACAAATAGACATAGGAAGAAATATGCAAAGCAACTGGAATCTTATCAGTGTTGGCGCAGGAGCACCTTCCTATGTCTACGTGACTAGATACAGGTGTTAGCCCTGTTTAGTCTGAAATGGATTGGGTTAGGTATTTGAACCTGATGAAACACAGTGATAAGTGAGATTCTCATTAGCAACAAGAAAACTTTTATTCAACCAGCAGCAAGATAACTCAAAACACATAATTCTCTTATTCTTCATTGTATTTATTTCACTTGACTTTTACACTGCCACTGAATTTGAAGGGAAGCCAGACCATTTCCTTGGGAGAATTTCCCTTCATTTTTTATTGTAGATAAAAGTCACAGGACAATTAGAGTGTCTGACAGATGGTCTCTCTTCTACTTGTAAAGTTACTTTTAGAAACTTTTAAATAACATTGAGTATATCTGATTGACAGTCATAAAACCTTTTTTCTAAAAAAAATTCTGAATGAGTACCTACTATGCTGTAACTTAGTGACAACGATATTTCAACAAATATTTATTCAGTGCTCATTACCTAGCAAGAAATTCAGATTTTCCAACCAGAGAAAGGCAGTCTATTGCTCTTTAAGTCAACAATTCAAAGCTATGCTCCAAGAGAAACAGTTCTCTCTGAGCTACTTCATGAAAACCCATGCTAACCTTATTACTCTGGAGACCAGTCATTTTACAAAGTATAGTGTTAATGCTGGAGCATGTATTCTTGATTATTTCCCAATTTAAATGAAAGGTAATTGGCTAGAAGGGATACAAAAATTCACAGGGCAAGATTTTACTGCCAGGGAGATTTCTGTAACACATGTTCACAATGCTCAGTGATTTTTTTTTCCGAAATATGGATCTTCAATATGCCACCAAATCTGTCCAGAGTGAAAAGACAGCTTCTCTGCCAGTGAGCGTTTAAGTGACACCTGCTTCCAACACGATCTTTACCAATCTCAAACAGGCTAAGGTCAGATCTTGTGATTGTGACTATGTGTTTCTTTATTAGAAGTCTTGGAACTAATGTAACTAGCTCCTTTTTATGCTATTATAGTAATGGAATATGTTTTAGTCTAAAAGAAATTTACAAACACATATTTAAATCTAGTATGTTGTTGAGAAATGTTTCTCTAAGTACTGAAAAGGGTTACAGTTCTTGATGTGTGCCTTTTAAAAAGAGTGAAAAAAAAAACCCCAAACACAAGCAAACCAACTTTAAACAGGTGTGGGTCATTCTCGAGAAATGTATTAGAGAAAATAACAGTGTCAGACAAGGACTCTATGCTTCTTGGCCCTAACCTGACATTCAGTTTCCATGTGTGTGAAAAGAAGAGGGTTAGATTGGGATTTTCTTTCTGAAGGGCTGGATTTATACCAACGGAGGTGTTCTAGATGACTAAGTGATACTCAAGCAAGACATTAAAGAACACTAAAACAGATGGAGAGAGAGTTATTCCCTTTAATTCTCTTCCAATTCTTGAATTATTATAAGAAAAATCTCCCGGGCTAGTCCTATCCTGTTTTTATCTCCTAACACCTGCTCTTCCCGTTTTTTTTTTAAAGAGGGAGCAGAATCTCAGCTCAGAGCTCTCTGCAGGCAACAGCTTGTGGCTTGAGTTCAATACCAGTGGCTTAGTTGTCAACCAATTTACTGTTCTCTCTCTCTCCTTGCTGGGAGTGACATATTTTTAAATCCACTTATGACAGGGATTTATATCAAGTTTCTTTTCAGATTTAGGGCAGTCATAGCAGAACTGGCACATGAATGACTCGAAGTTTGCGGCCACGGGATGGGAGGTCTCCAGCATCGGGTCAGGACAGCGCAGTTCTGAGCTCTGCCAGCCTGCTAGCAGGGCTGGTGCTGGGCCCCTGGCTGAGGCGGGTCTTCCCCCTTCCACACAACATACTTCTCTTGGCTAACGCTAGTATGCCTCTGACAGTAGAATTTTGCCCATTTCATTTTCTGCTAATCTGGAAAGCTGATGTAGAGTAGGCTTGAACTTAAATCATCTTGCCGTGTTGCCACTTAGACTGCCTGTAAAGCAGAATTGGTTCAAAAAGCCTATGTAAGCTGCAGCTGCCAGAATAAAAGGTAACATGCAGGTGTGCATTTTATTTCTCCCCCCACCCAAAAAGAAGAATAAGAAACATATGTTGATTTCTTCCTTGTGAACTTCACTTATCACAGGAAAATATCATGATTTTGGAACACATTTCCACAGCAGCAATCAGACTACTAAAATTCACAATAAAGGGTCCGCTTGGATGCATGCAGCCGGTAGGAAATTCTGCGAATGCTGAAAGGAGCGGCTCACACAACTTACTTCCGCGCTCTATGTTTCATTTTGTTGAAATAAAAAGACAAAACAAAAGAAAAGAAACTGTAAAATATTCTGGAACAAAATAACACAGAGTGGTGTTCAGTGCGCACAGGGGGCTCGATTCGTTAGCTGGAAGGTCCTGTTAAGATTCTGCAGGATTTGGGCATATTGATCAGAGAGAAACACTATTCTGTTATGTCATCCCCCTTTTGCATTGCCACTGTACTCGCCCACCTGAAAGCACATAGCTTCCTCCAGAACTAGAGTTCGGAAGGAAGAACTTGGATCAAGTTATCTTGGCCTCTTTAAAACGTGACAAAATAGGAGATGTTTTTGCCTAGTGTGAATAGAATATAGTTAAATGGATACTACTCTAAACAACAGGATTACACTGTTTTTGGAGGGGGTACATCTTTTCCAAGTCGAGGCTATTGGGAAGCCTTGTTTTCTGAAAGGTGGGTAATCTAACACTCTCTGTTATAGAAATTATTGGATTTCGTGACTTTGAGACAAGTGCATGTTAACTGATGAGTCTCTAACTGAGACTTAAGAATGAGAAGCTGTAAAGTCAATACCAGAGAAAGTGGTAAAAGTTACAGAAACAGAATGCTTCATGCACTAAGTGACGATCCCCAAAGACAGACAGGGTCCTAAAAAGAGGACACAGGCCTGCAGAGTTAGGCATCCGTCGGAGACTAGAAAGTCCTGTGCCCGGGAGAGAGGCCGTGAGGCTTGGGAAAGAGAAGGACAGCTGAGACAGAGGAGGCTGGTAGACGGGATAGAGCTCCTGCAAAGCTCTCAGGACAAATCAGAGGAGAGCAGAGGCCAGGAGAGCTCTAGTAAATGAATGGGTACATTTCCCCTCAACTGGCAAGGTCCGATTTCCCCCGCTACTGATGGACGAGGCTGGGCAGTGAAGGCAGTAAAGGCCATGCCCGTAGGAATCGAGCCCTATGTGCTTTCCTTTATGGCTTCACTCACTAAGTTCAAATGAAAGGTAATTATGCATAATTAGAATAATCTAGCCCCACCCAGCCCATCTACTTTTCACAAAGTTGTAAGGACCCTCCCACCTCAAAGGAAACCCCATAGTCCCAAGACTAGTTTACAAAACAATTTATCTTTGAGTTGCTTGAAGCTCATCTGCTTTAGAAGTACACACAGCTACAGAAGAAACAATGAGAAATGTCTGAAAGAAGCAGAAGAATCACGTGTGGCTTCCTCTGCCCAAAGGCAGCATGCTGAAAGACACACGACACCTACACCATGAAACCCTTCACCTCAGGTCAGGTCAGCACGTCTTGTTGCAATACACCAATTGGTTAGGGACAGCTTTTATACTTAGTTTCCCCAAATATTTTTTTGCCTTTTTATTATAGAAATTTTCAAACCTACAGCAAAGTTGAAAAAATTTTACAATGAATATCCCTAAGTTGTCCCCCAACGTTTTGAGTGTGAATGTATTCTGAGCTTAAGAGGTCTATGACAAACTTATATAAATACATAAATAACCACCATTTATACATGGCTTCAGAATTATGAGGAAAACTGTCAAAGTGTTTATTTGTTTCAGTTCTATGAAAGTTTATCAATGCCATCAAAGGCAAGTGTCACATTTCACTATATACTGAAGACACAGTACACTAGTAGGAAGGGATACTAATATAATCCCAGAGGAAATGGGAGGTGTGATTGCTGAACCCAAAGACTGACCCATGGGCTCAATTCCACATCATCTCTCATCCTTTCAGCCAGGACACTACATCGTCTCACAACCACAAAGGTACATTTTCTTTTTAATAGATCTGAACAAAATAGGTTAGCATCGAAACGTTCAAGTACAAAGAAAGATTTCTCTGCAGTATACCATGGGCACCTCTTGTGTGAACGCTGAGTTTACTGTGTTGTTTGGTTTGGGGGGGCATGTAGGAACGATCACTCTAAGAAAAGTTTACCAGGTGACTCTTGAGGGGGAGGTGAAAGCTTAGCATCGCTCAGGGGACCCACTCTCTTAGGTCTAAGCCTCAAGAAATCAAGATGTGGAGGTAAGCAGGCCAGGTGTGGTACCTAGCTTTAAAGGCAGCTATGACTCTAGGAAGCAAGCTCCGGCTCATGAGCTGGGTCTCATACAATGTTCCTCTCTTTCACTTTTACTCTTCCCCAGACTTGGAAAGAGTACTTTCTTAACATTCTTTTCTTTGTAATGCGGAAAATGCATAGTTGTGTGTGTCCCGTCAAGTCACAGAGCTGAAGCAGAAATAGTGTCACTCCAGTGCAGGTGGCAGTGAGGAAAGCACATATGTGGATCGCTAAGATGGCAGTGAAGACCAGCTACTCGGCTGTGTGTGCAGAACCTCCTATTTTAGAGCTCGGGTTCTTGGATTTTATTTTCATTAGGGAAGGGAGCAATTTCTATAGAAATACATGTATGTCTATAAACATAGACACATTCCACATTTTCAGTGTTACCTCTTTAAAAAGGGCAGTGGATGGGCAGGTGAAAAGGTAGAAGTTGAATGCTTGGTGATTTTCCACAGAATGTAAGTATAATATACATATGAATTACCTAAATAAGTAAAATGAAAACTTCAACCTCAGAACTTCCTGTTGGCTGTGCTAATTAGCTCTGAGAAAACACATCTCACTCTCTAATCTGGATACCTAGTATTTACCTACCTTTCCATCATTACCCTGGTAGGCTGCATGAGAAAAGTCAGTTTTCTGACCCATCAATGTGATGCGTCTGCCCTTCTCCATATAGAAAGGGCATTAAGAGCAAGGCTGCATGACATCACAGCTGACACCCACATGATGTACTTACGGTAATGATGCTGCCAGCCTGGGGGGAGAAAGACCTGGTGCTTTCAAATTATCATGGAAACTTACTAGATAGAGATGTTTGCTTTAAAGCCTATGATGGTATAACAATAAAATGGTATGAATGACTTAAACAAATTGAGTAACTGTGGCTTGGATAAAGTCTGAATAATGACAAAAGAGTGCAAGGCCTAAAGGAACTCTAAAATCAATAATGAACATATAGCATATAGAAAATCCCCCAAATCCTGATTAAAAACTAATTTAAAAATTCAAGTATTAAATCAATTGCATGTACTACCTTCATATAAAGATGTTTGGCAGTATGTTAAAAAAAAACCCAAGTAGATCATAAAATGTTAAATTTCTTTCAAAGTTTTGTACTAGATACAAACTAAACATCTTAGAGCAAACTATATGAATAAATAAATGCAAAATTAAGATTTTAACTGAAATTATTCCTTTTATTTAAAAAAAGAAACTGAATAGACACTTTAATTAATACATTATGTGGCTCTTCTCCCAATAATAAATGATTTTTCATCATAAAATGAACTGACAAATGAAATTCTAAGAAAATTTATGGAATTATTAAAATGCCAAATAATGTCTTCTGGGAACAAACATGATAATGTTCTCTTTTTCCCTCCCTCATGAAAGAAGAATAAGCAGGTGCAAGAATTAAAACCCAGAGATACCAATGCAGAATGAAAGTGAAGAATGGTACTTACTGATGAATAGCTTGCAAGAATTTCCGTTGATGTTTTCTGACTTTTGCATGATCTATCTTTTTTACTAGCTTTGTATTTTTGTAAATTAGCCATGTTTCCCTGAGTACATTGGCAGCTGCATTTTTCACCTGTTAGGGAAACAAACAAACACAGCTGGTGATCAGTTCCAGAGCAGGATCCTTTGCAACTTGGTTGGGGGTCTATTCTTCAGCCTGATGATCACGGTAAGCTCTAGCGCTGCTTAGTAACTCAAAATTGTTTTCTTGAATCTGTGCCTTTTGAAAAGTACCTATATCTGTCTGAGAACACTTACCTTGAAATTTGAGGGGCTACTGATCTCTTTTTTGGGCTAACCTCCTCCATGAGGAATCTTTCATTCACCACTTAAAGAAAAAAAGAAGCAGCAGCAGCTACTGCTTTCTTCACCTTGTACCTTAATTGCTTTCTCCACGCTCTTCGTTTCCCCGGAGAAGGGCGAGGTGCCAGAAGGCCAAGGTTCACCTTGTCCTTTGCAGCTTGTTCAGCATTTCTGGCTGAGCCCTACAGGAAGGGGATGTTCCCACTGCTGAATGTACAAGGAGACCCAGTCATCCAGCCTCCCAGCATGACTTAGCACACGGCATGCTTGTTAGCACACTTTAATCAACCGACAGAGTCTATGCTGTCAAGATTTTGTTGGTAATTTAAATACACTGTGTTTCACATGGACAGGACAAACCCAAAGGATGTCAGTAACACTGCCAAAACTTATCGCGGCTGATGGAAAGTGTGAATACTTCCTAGTGAGACTTCAATCACTTGCTTTCTTGATTCGTCTTTAAAAACCCCTGCAAGTCCTCTTTCTTGTTCATAAGATGAGAACTGATGACCCAGAGCTTTCAACTGTGCTTGTTATAAGCTACTTATTCTGCAGTTGATCCATTTAATTCTTTTGAATGGTAGACAAAGGATGTCTCACAAGGAGAACTGCAAGCTAACGGGGGACTGGGTGGAGGAAGACAACTTTTTAAAGATGAAATAATATCATTTGCAGCACCATGGGTGGGCCTAGAACTTGTCATTCTGAGTGAAATAAGTCAGACAGATAAGTGGAAGCATCGTATGACATCCCTTATACGTGAACTAAAAACACATGATACAACTGAACTTATTTATAAAACAGACTCAAAGACTTTAGAGAACACACTTATGGTTGTCAGGGGAAAAGATTGGGGGAATGAATAGTTAGGGAGTGTGGGATGGACACGTACACATTAATATTTAAAGTGGATAACAAACAAGGGCCAACTATATAGCACAGGGAACTCTGCTCAATGTCATGTGACAGCCTGAACTGGAGGCAGGGTTGTGGCAGAATGGATACATGTATACGGACACACATACAATGTGTATGTATGGCTGAGTCCCTTTGGTCCACCTGAAACTTTCATAACGTTGCTGATCGGCTATACCGCAATATGAAATAAAAAGTGCTTTTTTTGTTTTGTTTTGTTTTTTTAAAGGCAGTGTCATGGGGAAAGACAGAATGATGAGCTGGGCTTCAGAAAAAGATTTTAAGTCCTTGACTTTGGACCAACCAAATCAGGTCAAGGAGGTTAGCTAACCTTGTAGAACTTGAGTTTTCTCTAACATGAAAAGGTTAAAGAGAATTATTGTCAGTACTTTTCAGCGCTTAGAATTATAATCAGAGAGAGTATTATAATTTACCAAAACTATGGCCCCAGTAGGCATGTGTGTTTTTCCACTTTAGCAGAGAAACCATCAGCCTTGGTGGCTGATGGTGAATCCTTTTCTTTAGTGCTGAAATGCTTTCTTTTTGAGTGAAACTGTATTGCTAGAACCCACTTGAAGAAAATGGCTGGTATCTTAAGACTGCTTTTAGTTGTGGCTTCCTTTGGCTATTCATTAGACTCTGCACAGGGAACAGTCTCCAACCAACAGAAAAATGACTGAAGCATGGGATGCCGAACACCTGCAGTGCATGTGAGTGACATCACCACCACCCACAGTGAAGTGAAAAGGTGCTCCAGTTAGTGCTTGGATCCTCACTCTTATGCAAACACATTTCTCTTCCTCACAGAGGTAGGAGTCTGTTCAGAAGGCTCTTCCATCTGGCACTGACATCCTTTGTAAAGGTAAGAAACTGAATATAGTGTAAATTGCTCAGGTTGGAGGACCCAGCTTTTGTTTAATTTTTATTTGGCTGCTGCTGCTGCTAAGTCGCTTCAGTCGTGTCTGACTCTGTGTGACCCCATAGACGCCAGCCCACCAGGCTCCCCCGTCCCTGGGATTCTCCAGGCAAGAACACTGGAGTGGGTTGCCATTTCCTTCTCCAATGCATGAAAGTGAAAAGTGAAAGTGAAGTCGCTCAGTCGTGTCCGACTCTTAGCGACCCCATGGACTGCAGCCTACCAGGCTCCTCCGTCCATGGGATTTTCCAGGCAAGAGTCCTGGAGTGGAGTGCCACTGCCTTCTCTGATTTGGAGTATAGTTGATTAACAATAATGTGTGAGTTACAGGTGCACAGCAAAGTGATTCAGTTATACCCATACAAGTATCCATTATTTTTCAAATTATTTTCCCATTTATTTTGTTATAGAACATTGAACAGAATTTCCTGTGCTACACAGTAGGCCCTGGTTCATTATTTACTTGAAATACAGCTGTGTGTACCTGACAATCCTGAATTCCCAGTCTATCTGCCCTCATCTACCCTTTCTCCCTGATCACCGTAAATTCATTTTGTGTGTTCCTGTTTTGTAAATAAGTTCATTTGTATCATTTTTTTTTTTAGATTCTGCATATAAGCAATATCATATGATGTTTGTCTTTGTCTGATTTACTTCAATTAGTATGATAATCTCCAGGTCCATCCATGGTGCTGCAAATGGCATTATTTCATTCTTTTTTATGGCTGAGTAATATCCCATTGTATATATGTACCACATTTTCTTTAGCCATTCATTTGTTGCTGGACACTGAGGTTGCTTCCACATCTTGGCAATTGTAAACAATGAACACTGGGTGCACATATCCTTTCGAATCATGGTTTTCTTTGGATACAAAACCAGGAGAGGAATTGCTGGACCTAATGTAGCTCTGTTTTTAGTTTTGAAAGGAACTTCCATACTGTTCTCCATAGTGGTTGTACCAATTCACATTCCCATCAACAGTGTAGGAGGGTTTCCTTTTCTGCGCACTCTCTCTAGCATGTATGGCTTGTAGACTCTTTGATGATGGCCATTCTGACTGGTGTGAGATGACACCTCACTGTAGTTTTGATTTCCATTTCTCTAATACTTAGTGATGTCAAGTATCTTTTCATGTTTATCTTGGCCATCTGTATGTCTTCTATGGAGAAATATCTATTTAGGTCTCTGGCTCATTTTTTTTGGTTTGATTGTTTGTTTTTGATATAGAGCCATATGAGCTCTTTGTAAATCTCATTAAAGAATATTATCATTTCGTTCTTTCACATGGAGCTGTCCAGTTTCCTGGCACCACTTACTGAAGAGTCTGTCTTCTCTCCATTGTCTTGCTTCCTTTCTCATAGATTAACTGACCACAGGGGTGTGGGTTTATTTCTGGGCCTTCTATCCTGTTCCATTGATCTATATTTCTGTTTTGATGACTTCAGCTTTGTAGGAGGACCTTGTTTTTAAAGAGTGGAAAGGGAAGTGACCAGTATTGCCCGGGGTTAGGACAGGCCTTTTCCCACTTAGCAAGGAGAAGGGCTGTTTACTGGAGGTCTCAGCTCTCTGAGCAGCTGTACTGCCTGGAAGACTGGTAAGGGATCTGGTATATCCTCCCTTCCTGGTTTTATCAGCTCAAGACACAGAATAAGAACCTAGAACACAGACTGGTGAGGCAGCTAGAAAAGTGGGTAAGCAGTACTGAGAAAAAACATGGCAGTTGAACATATGAGTGTTTGCAACAGAACATAACAATTGATTTTGGTTTGGATTCTCATCTACAAAGAGCAAATGCCAAATTGGTTAAGTCCAGAAATTTTTCAAAAGTGATCCAATGCTCATCCTTAATGTATTTTAAAAGGTTCTTTGGGATGGTAGAGGACTGACTGGAGGGGAGTTGGGGTGGGTTATAGTTGAGAGTTCTGACAAGACACCTGCTCCTTGGAAGGAAAGCTGTGACAAACCTAGGCAGCACATTAAAAATCAGAGACATCACTTCGATGACAAAGGTCTGTATAGTCAAAGCTATGGTTTTTCCAGTAGTCATGTACAGATATGAGAGCTGGACCATGAAGAAGGCTGAATGCCAAACAATTGATGCTTTTGAACTGTGGTGTTGTAGAAGACCCTTGGGAGTTGCTTGGACAGCAAGGAGATCCAACCAGTCCATCCTAAAGGAAATCAACCCTGAATACTCATTGGAAGGACTGATGCTGAAGCTCCAATACTTTGGCCACCTAATATGAAGAGCCAACTCACTGGAAAAGACTGGGAAAGACTGATGGCAGGAGAAGGGGATGACAGAGGATGACATGGTTGGATGGCATCACCGACTCAATGGACAGAGACAGTGAAGGACAGGGAGGCCTGGCATGCTGCAGTCCATAGGGTTGCACAGAGTCGGGCACAACTCAGTGGCTGAACAACAACAACAAAGAAATTTATACTACTAAAAGTATTGGGGTGGCCAAAAAGTTAGTTCAGTTTTTTCTGTAAGATGTTATAGAAAAATCCAAATGAACTTTTTTGCCAACCCAATAATAATAATCACCAGATGACTCCAACCCACTTCACAGGTATAAAGGACATGACATATTATTTTATAATTACTAATTACTAAATTACTAATTATTTTATAATTACTAATGAATCAGCATATATTAAAGTAAGGTAGTAAGGTAAAATATATTTTTAAGTGAAACAATACTTTATAAACCACAAAACCTCTTACAGCTGATTGACTTTCAAGTGAATATCTGCTTTGTTCAATCCTACAAGATACATATAATTAGAGCATTATATAACAGGCTACTTTGTTTATAGATTTCCTTTGATTTTCACTGCTTTCTTTTTCAACTTGTATATTTCCGTCTTTTTGTCTTTCTCTTGCTTCTTCCCTCAGGGGCTTTTATGAGTGCAATACTTTGTCTTTTCCAAAATTCCAGGGGAAGGAACATAATCTGTTTTAAGATGCACGAGGGCTTCTTAACTCTCATTCTGATAACTACGGTAAACTGTTGCTCCTTATACTATGGGTGATACCTCCAGGATGCCCAGGGAGAAACAAAGGTCACTAAGCCTGTGCAGCTTAGCAGGACATGTGCTCCCTGCCCCTGCAGCAGCAGAGACGGATGTGCTTAGGGCACCAACCTTTCTCACCAGCCTGGTCCTTCTTTAGACCAGGTGCCTCGGGCAGGGTGAATGGAGCAGGGCAATGGCTCCATGCGTTTTTTTCAGCCTACTAGGATATGTAGCAATGCACGATATAAAAGCTGTACAAAGTAAAGCCTCCCAAACTTCTGTTCACTTGCTGAGAGACCTGCAAGAGACAAAATTACGTAACTGCACAATAGTGTTCTTATTATGGATCTGATTGAGAATTCTTACAGGATTGGAAACACCCACTGTGGACATTAATATGTATAATTATCCTTCATGACACATCTAGCGACTTGAAAAATTATGTCTGGGCTCTCAGAATTGCTTGTTTTCGGGTTTCTTTCCAAAACGTAAAGTAACTAGAGGGCCAAACGCCAAGATTTACTCTTGGTTCAGACCCGAATGTACAGTAATAGTGATAGATTTCCCAAAGCTTTAGCACAGTAAACAAACTGTCTCTGTAAGGTGATTTGCTAGATATCTGTTAAATAGCTGGTCCTGTCTTACTAAGCCTACTGATAAGTTATTGGTATTATGCTTTCTTTTTGAAATCCTTAGAATATTCTGGTTACGTGGGCCACTGGCCATTTTTGAACTGTAATGTGCCATGTAAGTGGTTGTGACTACATAGGACAGTCCTCTGAATGTTACTGCCCAGTGAATTGTATGTTCTACTTTCAAACATTGCATTTTGTGTGGTGAATGTAGTTCCGCAGAGAAAAGATTTCTGTATAAAATTGTTCCTGGAACTTTGTGCATGGGGAATAATTTTTCATGGAAATTGTTAAGATACACAATGGAAGACTCGGAAGGTTACATTTTTTCCTGCAAGAGTAATCTATCTTTTAACATTCATATTGCTTTTTGTTTCGATACATATTAAGATTTGAGAATGTTGTGACTATTATTACTCCTGTTGACCATCAGGAAACTTCAGTGTAGTGTTTCAGGGAATGGTTGTAGCTTTCTCTAGCAATAAGGAGCACCCTTGAATGTGTCTTTTGAATCTCTCATGTTAGTAACTATGTGTGGCTTTCAGGTCCTTCTTTATTAAAAATTATAAATGGGCCCACTTAAAAATTTCATAAATAACTAAATGGAAAGGAATCAATTCCATTCATTGACAAATATGGCAAATGACATTCATTGATAACTATATAAAGTAATGCAGAGAGGACCACAAAAAGGCTATTATTTTCATATACTGTATTGAGTATAGTAATGGAATGGCTCTCATAAACTGGAAGTTTATGTTTGATTCTAATGCCATCTTAACATTTGCTCTTGTACTTAGTGACATTTTGCCTATAAAAATAGATCTGTCAGCAAGCCTTCTTGAGTGTCTTTTTCAGACCTATTAAAGACTCTGGTCACAAGAAATATTGCAAAGTAGCTTCACTTTTAAGAAATAGTAGTGAGATAATAGAATTAAGGCATCATAAACATGATGTGTGTGTGTGTGCTTAGTCACTCAGTTGTGTCTGACTCTTTGAGACCCCATGGACTGTAGCCTGCCAGGCTCATCTGTCTGTGGGGATTCTCCAGGCAAGAACACTGGAGTGGGTTACCGTGCCCTCTTCCAGGGCACCTTCCCAACCCAGGGATCATACTCAGGTCTCCTGCATTTCAGGCAGATTCTTTACTCTCTGAGCCATCAGGGAAGCCCAATAAGCATGATGCAGAATGTGAATTTTGGAAGTAGAACAGTACTTCTTACTGAAAAAGCTTTCTACAAACATGACTCTGAATTCAACCTTGGTGTGGTTTAGTCTCTAAGTTGTGTCTGACTCTTTTGTGACCCCATGGACTGGAATCTACCAGGCTCCTATGTCCATGGGATTTCCCAGGTGAGAATACTGGAGTGGGTTGCCATTTCCTTCTCCATAATTCAACACTATCAACAGGGAATTTATCAAATATACATAAGAACTTACAACAGAAAAGCAGGAACATCAGAAACTTGATCAGTTAGGGGAAATAGGTCCTAGTCTTTAAAACTAAAGGAAGGTCACTTAGCTCTCAGATCTAGATCCTTAAAGGGGACCCAAGTGCAACATAAGGGAGAACACAAGTCTTTTTTTTGCCAGGCAGGAAGAGACACAACTTTCATCTGATTTGCTGAAGGAAGAGCATTATGAAAGTTTAAAACTCTCTGATCCCTGGAATATAGCAGTTAATTCAGAACCCCAACAACATTAGACTTATGTGGTCTATTTTTATACTTGAGTAAATACCAAGGTTTCCCAATTATTTCCTGACTGACCTAAAGTTAGGAAAAGTTTAGTCTTCACGTGAAAAGATGGAACTGACTTCAGGAAGGCTTTCACTTTAAACCATGTCATTCCAGCTTCAGCGGTCAAAGTAAAACTGTTATTGCCCAACAGTGACAGCAAATAAGAGCTCCGGACAAGACGGCAGAGTAGAAGGATCTGCGCTTACTTCCAAAATCATAACTAATTGCTGAACAACCATCAACAAAAAAGGACTAGAACCTACCAAAAAAGACATGCTCCTTCCAAAGGAAGAAGCCACAACGAAATGGCAGGAGGGGTGCATTCGTGATTCATTCCAGTCCCATACCCCACAGGTAGGCAACCCTCACACTGAAAAATAATTATATCACAGAGATTCTCTCCCTCTGTTCTCTCATAGGAGTGAGAGGTCTGAACCCACATAGGGGGTCCCCAGACTAGGGGACTGGCATCAGGAGGAGACCCCAGAGCACGTATTAGTAAATCACTTTGCTATACACCTGAAACTATAATGACATTGCAAATCAACTATATCCCGATATAAAATGACTTAAAACAAAGAAAGAAAAACACGACTCTTCCCTTTGGAGCCACAGGGGCGGTAACTTACTCTCTTTGTCAGCTGAGTGTCCATCATGAAGTTGTGCACGTGCTTTTCTGCTTTGGTAAGTTCTAGCTTCCTCGCTACCACAGCTACCACCAGGGCTGTGCAACCAGCTCCCTGAAAAGCAGGAGAGACAAGAAAGCCCCGAGAGTTACTATTTTTGGTCTCAACCACATTAAATAATGCTTTGTACTATGTACATGACTACCTAGAGATAAAAAGTAAACTGTAATAATCGCTGTCTTCCATCAATATGACAGAAACTGCATGGCCAATAAACATAAGTAACATGCCTTTAGACTGATGTTAAAAAATGTAAAATAGGTGAACTAAGAACTAAAATGTGATGTTTGTATCGAACGTAGTTTAATTACATGAAATGAACGGTAAAACAGCAACTTGGTGAATTTTCAGACTTAAAAACAGAGCAAATCAGTTACACTTAAAGACAGAGGAAAACAGAAACATAAATCAGTGAATTAGCATAAATTCACAGAAAGGAACTAAGGATTATTCTCTAAAAAGTAAAATTCTATAATCTGTCAAGAAAAAACCAGCAGGTCTTCAGGATGGCCAACTGCAAAAAGTCAGGAATGGAAACAGAGGCATTGTATGCACAGCTTCAAACCGGTCCATGCATAGAACAGAAAGGATCGCAGAAAGGTCTGAACCCGGACAACACACATATAGGAAATGCTAAAGATCAGGGATAACCATATAATAAAATTTTATTCCTATAATATCTAAAGACTATAAAATTTAGACAAGTAAGTTAAAAGCTTGTATATGTAACTTGATTCTAATTTTATTTTATTTTTTTAAAGGAATTCATATTTGGAAAGCAAAGAAGCCCAGCTGTGAAAAGAGCTTCTCTCTCAATGGCTGGAAGAGTGGTAAGTTAGTTTATTCTTTGTGCTTTCCTTAACAGTCCATCTTATTTACATTGAATACATATTACTTATACAAATAAATGCTCACATATAAAGTGACAAAGTCTGTAGTTTAAGAAATATTTAACCTAACCTTTACCTATCTTTATTAACCTTAAAAATTCAACCTAGGAAAATGATCTTTCTTCATAATTCATACTTATGTTTTATTATGTANCAAATAAATGCTCACATATAAAGTGACAAAGTCTGTAGTTTAAGAAAACATTTAACCTAACCTTTACCTATCTTTATTAACCTTAAAAATTCAACCTAGGAAAATGATCTTTCTTCATAATTCATACTTATGTTTTATTATGTAATTAATTATAGAATCACTTTATTTGAATCAATAAGTGTAATTTAGCCATTCAACTCCTAACCAAAGAAGGAATTTTTTATCTTACTGAATGAGTTGTTGCAAACAGGGACAAGATTGAGGAGAGGAAAAGGAAATACACTGTTTTCTATTGCCACAATCTGATAATTACAAATATACAGAGATGGTCTTACTAACAGGGTAATGCTGTTTAAATACAGTATTTCTAGAGGGTTTAAATATCTCCTTCCACCAAGCTCTATGGAGAGATCAGTATCCTCAGAAAAGAAGTGATACTGATCATATGATCAGAGAGAGAGGCCAGAGGGTATTAGACCTACCTGGTTTAACCTTTTGATTTGAGACATGAGGCGATTAAGGCAGAGTAAGTGATTATTCAATTATGGACTCTGACTACCATTGGTATATTTTCCACCCTTTACCCCAACTCATAATACCTTTATCCATATGTAAGATCACATATATTCTTATTTGTGATCGCTTCCATATCCATGACACAATATAGAGCACTGTATTTCTAAGCAAAACTTCAGTTTATCATCAACTCTTAAAGTATGAATATTTAAAAACTGAGCACTATGGTTAGTTACCAATATAAGGCAAAACATTATTCTTATTGTTTGAGTGGTACAACTTTTAAGCCAAGTTATCTTCAACTTGATAGTGACTAGAATCTTTGAAAGCGCTCCATGTGATTCCAACATAGAGTCACTGCTTTAAGTGAAGGAGGATATGGAGGGAAAATGGCAAACATCAACTACTCTCTATTTTAAACACAAGATAAAGGTTTTTACTTGAGTTGTTTCACTTAGTTATGAAGACTCTCAGAAGTGAGAAACAAGAAGCATGAAGGCAGAGGGTAGAGAGGACAGGGTCGGAAATGTCCGAGTTGTGTTGTTTCTATGCTGATATTTTGGGCTGTGGGTAAAAGTGAAGTCGCTCAGTCGTGTCCGACTCTTCTCAGCCCCATGGACTGTAGCCCGCCACACTCCTCTGTCCATGGGATTCTCCAAGAGAGAATACTGGAGAGGGTTGCCATTTCCTTCTCCAGGGAACCTTCCCAAGCCAAGGATCAAACCCAGGTCTCCCACACTGCCGGCAGACGCCGTAAAGTGCCCTAAGCTTTAACTCTCTCAGTATTAACTCTCTCCTCAGCTCACAGGCGCCATGTGTAGACAATGACATAAAGTGATTTTAGAGATGGGTACTAATGAAGGAAAAGAATGGCCTTTTGAAGTATCTAAACCTGTTTTGTTGCCACAAAATATAAATGAGTTATAGTAAGAGAGGTTAGCCTGAATCAATGGAAGGAAGCAGTCACCACTCAGGCTAGCCATCGGTACCTACCCACGGCATGAGAACATTCGCTTGACAAGTACAGGATCACCTGTTGCATGTCTGCTCCCAGGCACTCCTCAGTCAGGAGCAATGGGAAAGTCAAGAGCAGCAGTGGCTTTTTCATAAACAGCGAATATAAAAACAGGAGGGGTTTCGACCACTAGAGAGATAGCTGTAGGTGGCAGTTGGCTGTATATGCTGAATATTGTTCTCCGGTGGCAGGAGGCCACTGGTGCGATTCTTCTGGAAAGAAATCAAAATCCCAACAGGAGTGGAAAATCACTGGTATCAAGAGCATTTGGAAGTTGATTTTTATTTGTGTTTATTCTTGAGCTCTGCTTTTTGCTGCTGCTGGCCCATTTCTTGCTGAGTGTTCTCTAGCTCACCAAGTTTTGTGTATTACAATTAGTATGTCTGTTGCAAAGTACAGAAGCAAGTGGATCTGACAGTTAAGTAATTAGTGAAACTATTGCTTATATCCCTCACTCCATAATCACACTTGTACCCTTTTAATTATACCCCAAAAGCCACTTAGAAATCTTTTTTTCTGGAAAGAAATCAAAATCCCAACAGGAGTGGAAAATCACTGGTATCAAGAGCATTTGGAAGTTGATTTTTATTTGTGTTTATTCTTGAGCTCTGCTTTTTCCTGCTGCTGGCCCATTTCTTGCTGAGTGTTCTCTAGCTCACCAAAAGTTTTGTGTATTACAATTAGTACGTCTGTTGCAAAGTACAGAAGCAAGTGAATCTGACAGTTAAGTAATTAGTGAAACTATTGCTTATATGCCTCACTCCATAATCACACTTGTACCCTTTTAATTATACCCCAAAAGCCACTTAGAAATCTTTTTTTCCAAAGTCCTTAGCTCATGTAAGTCTTATACCTTCCAGGTTCTTAATAAATCACAAGATGTTTTGGTATGTATAGAATCAGGTTTCAAAAAAGTAACTTTTACAATTATGCAAACTGAAGCTGGCTCATCCCCGAAAGTTTTCTAGGTTCAAAGTAAGTTCCTGCTAACACATTAATGATTATAGTAATTTAAGAAATGATGTGATATTATTGTCCAGTCAGTATCTACTTCCTGAGCCATTCTGTTTCATAAAGTGAATAAGAATGAATGTAAATATGCTTTTACAACATTTTCTCCAAATCTTGCCATGATCACAATGGATATAGAAACAGTTGGGACTAACATATGTTACTCTCTGAAATTAAAATCCCTGCATGCCTTTAACGAGATGAGTCATAGTTCTTTCACCAAAGTCAGAAAATGTATCCTGGTTACTTTTCTTCCATTTCATTTGTGCTATTAAGAAAAAAAACTAAGCAAGTAACTAACCTGCCACTTCAAGATACTCAGAAAACTAATGTGTGTGTGTGTGTGTGTGTGTGTGTGTGTGTGTATGTGCGCGCGCACATATAAGTATTAATGCTCATTATGCTAGATTAAAGTGAACAGACAAAAGACAACCAGAAAACATAAGCTATAGTTGAATCCCAACATCTTGAGAGTCTTAGATGCTGCCAAATTAAAATGAAGTCTCTGCACAGGAAAGGAAATCACAAAAAAAGATAACCCAAAGAATAGGAGAAGATACTTGTAAATGACACAACCAAAAAGGGCTTAAACTCCAAAATATACAAAGAGCTCATACAACTCAATAACAAAAAAGCAACCCAAATGGAAAATGGGCAGAAGACCTAAATAGACATTTCTCTAAAGAAAACATATAGATAGCTAACTGGCACATGAAAAGATGCTCAACATCATTAATTATTAGAGAAACGCAACTCAAAATTACAAGCTATCACCTCACACCAGTCAAAATGGCCATCATCAAAAAGTCTACAAATAATAAATGCTGGAGAGACTGTGGAGAAAAGAGAACCCTCCTATGCTGATGGTGGGAATGTAATTTGGTACAGCCATTATGGAAAATAGTATGGAGGTTTCTCAGAAAACTAAAAACAGAGCTACCACATGATCCAGCAATTCCACTCCTGAGTATGTATCCAGGCAAAACTATAATTTGAAAAGATATATGCTCCCCTATTTTCATAGCAGTACTATTCACAATAGCTAGGCCATGAGAGCAACCTAAATGACCATCAACAGATGAATGGATAAAGAAAATGTGGTATATACACACAATGGAAAACTACTCAGCTATAAAGAGAATGAAGTAATGCATTTGCAGCAACATGGATGGACCTAGAGGTTATTATAATAAGGGGAGTTAGAAGCAGAAAGACAAATACCATATGATACCATTTATATGTGAAATCTAAAATATGGCACCAATGAACCTCTCTAGAAAGCAGAGAGAGACTCACAGACAAAGAGAACAGACCTGTGGTTGCCAAGGGAGGGGTGGAAAGGGAGAAGGATGGACTGGGAATTTGGGGTTAGTATACTCAAATTGTTAGATATACCGTGGATAAACAACAAGGTCCTGAGGTATAGCATAGGGTGCTGTATGCAATCTCCTGGGATAAACCATATGGAAAAGCATGTAAGAAAGAATACACACATGTATATACATAACTGAGTCATTTTTCTGTACAGCAGAAATTAACACAATGTTGTAGATCATTTGTGTTATAAATACAGCAAAAAATAAAAGTGTAGTGCCTTTCTCTGCTGTATTCTTCTCTAATATAGCACACACATCGAAAGCCATGTCAATTCCTAGAATGTAAGAGAAGTTCAAGTAGCTCATTTTCCCCAAGATCACTTATCACATAGTTCAAAAAATTCAGAGGTATGACATGTTTTTACGTTAGATCACTAGTGATGTTCATCCTACAAATATACTTCTAAAAATCATGTTGAAGCACCACTTTGGGATCAAGCTTTAGTAACTTAATATATCAGCCGATGGAAATGGAAATTCCTTTAACAGCACACTGGGAAAACGTTTTGATTCTTTCCTCATTGAAAAAGGCATCTGCCAAATATTCAACATGATAATAATGAAATTTATAATGTGGAGGGTAGTTACAGAATACTCACCACCACAGAGAATGACTGCAAAAATTTGCTAATGTTCAAATGATTCCACTCTTAAATTATCCTTCTGTCTTACAATAGCTCCTAAAAGGTCAAGCTTCAGTTTGATAGCTGACGGATGGACTATCACTAATGAAAATTTGTTAACATACACTTATTTTGAAAAAAATCATGTTTTCTACAAAAATACATCTAAATTAATGAAATAGCTGAAAGATTAACTTTCATTTTAAAATATTAACTTTTCCTTTAAAGGGAAATTGAAAACATTGCCCATTTTTCTCTCCCTGGAGTTGATTGACTCAATACCCTAGAACAATAAATATATTTTCAATGCACTTTTCTGACACAATTATTTTTTCATAAAAATGCATAAGACAAGCATTTCTGGCAAGTAAGATTCTATAAAAAATTCAGCTTTAGTATTATATCCCACTGGAGTTTTACAAGATCTCTTTAGGTCATGAAAATAAACAATATTAAAAATAATTTTGAAGACAAATTCCCTCTATTAAAATGCCCCTGCCTCTGAGTATCTTCAAATACAGTTGGTCCTCGAACAAAGAGGGGCTGGGAACACAAAACCTCCCTGTAGTTGAAAATCAAGTATAACTTACAGTATAACTTATCGTGTGCCCTCTACTAACAAATTCAATCAACCACAGATTGTGTAGTACTGTAGTATTTAATACTGAAAAATATCTGCATATAAGTGGACCCATGCAGTTCAAATCCACGTTGTTCAAGGGTGAACTGTATTGTTGATAGGGGAGGTCAGTTAAAATGTCCTCATCCCAAGGAAGAGGGGAGAAGGTATGTGTGTGCTTTTAGAGTTCAATGGTAAAGCCTGGGTTTAGAACCCCAACTCTTCTTTAGTGATCTGCTTGCTCAGCTTCAGTGACTGGAAAGAAGGAAGTGGTGCATAAACCTGGTCATCAACAATGAGTCATCTCTGAGTTTAAATCTCCTTATTAGCGATGGTGCCAATGTGAGCACACGTATTTCAGAGACAGGAAGGGCAGCTCTGCCAACTCAAAGTGCTGATAATTTAGAAAATTTAGGTGGAATTGTAGAGACAATGAGTTGAATACAAGAGAGTTACAACAACTTTCACTTAAAAGCAGCTGCCTTATTTCTCAAGAAATTTTCTTGGGGAGAAGTGAAGGTCTGCTGAGGGCAATAGTGGAGAATTCAGCCTTAGGGCCAAAAAGGCCTATCATCTCATCTAACTGTTGGGCACAAAATAGAAACTATAGTGAGAATTTAAGGACACATTCTTTTCAACGGGCCTTTATTTGATGAGATTCAATGAACACACCTTTCCAGAATGGGAAAGACAATGAAGGACAGAAACGGTATGGACCTAACAGAAGCAGAGAGATTAAGAAGAGGTGACAAGAATATACAGAAGAACTGTACATAAAAGGTCTAATGACCCAGATAACCACAAGGGTGTGGTCACTTAACTAGAGCCAGACTTCCAGGAGTGTGAAGTCAAGTGGACCTTAGGAAACACTGCTGCTAATAAAGCTAATGGAGGTGATGGAATTTCAGTTGAGCTATTTCAGATCCTAAAAGATGATGCTGTTAAATGCTTCACTCAGTATCCCAGCAAATTTGAAAAACTCAGCAGTGGCCACAGGACTGGAAAAGGACAATTTTCATTCAATCCCCAAAAAGGGCAATGCCAAACAATGTTCAAACTACTGCACAATTGCACTCATTTAACATGCTAGCAAGATAATGCTCAAAATCCTTCAAGTTAGGCTTCAATACTGTGTGAACCAAGAACTTCTAGATGTACAAGCTGGATTTAGAAAAGTTAGAGGAACCAGAGATCAAATTGCTAACATCCACTGGATCATAGAAAAAGCAAGATAATTACAGAAAAACATCTACTTTTACTTCACTGACTATGTTAAAGCCTTTGACTTGTGGATCACAATAAACTGTGGAAAATTCTGAAAAAGAGATGGGAATACCAAACCACCTTACCTGCCACCTGAGAAACCTGTATACAGGAATCAACAGAACTAGACATGGAACAANATGCTGAAGCTGAAGCTCCAATACTTTGGCCACCTGATGTGAAGAGCTGACT